AAACTTCCGGGCGACAATCGACAGAGTCGATGGTCGCAATTCTTTTTTCCCTTCCCGCCCTATTACCACCTCCGCTTCCGTAAGATGTCAAACGTATCAAACGTATCGCATTGGCCCTCTCGCGAATTTACCTGTTGTAGTAGTGCGACGGAAAAGGCTGGCAGTTGAAGAACGGGTCGTTGTGCAAATGCGGTTGTCCAGGTACCCCTGGTCCCTGCGGATGCGCGTGCGGGCCCATCGGGCCGCTGGGTCCGGGGCCGCACATACCGGGCGCGCCTTGGGGCTGCATACCGGCCGGCCCCATCATGCCGGCCGGGCCCATCGGATGGGGCGCCGCTGGATGATGCGGCGAGCCGACCATGTGGGGCCCCGGGTGATGGGGATGGGGCGAGGGTCCGCCGCCCCCCATGTGCGGGTGAGGCGTGTGGGGCGAACCGCTCATCATACCGTGGGGCGGCATCGGATGGGGACTCGGCGATGCGCCGTTGAGATGGGGCGCCGCGCTAACCCCGCCGTGCGGGGTCGGCGGCCCGCCGTGCGTCGGCGTCGTCGCCGGCTGCGGCGGCGGCAGACTCGGCGGTCCGCCCGGGCCCGTGCCCGCGAGTGGCGGCAGTGGGCCGTTCGCCATGTTGTTGAGCTGCGTGAGCGATGCCGCCGCCGACGCCATCGCCTGCAGAGGATTCGTGGCGCCGCTCGCCGTGTTGATGCCTAGGTGGTGATTGCTGTTGGCGATGTTGTTGATGGGGTTGCCGCCGCCGAGCGAGTTGTGGCTATTGCTGCCGCTGTGGTTAATGCTGTTGGGGTTGACGTTGCTGTTGCTGTTAGTGGCGACGCCGCCGCCAAGGGATTGCAAGGACGGCGGCAGCGGTGGCGAGCCGGCGGGGGGCGCTGCCGGGCCCCCGAGGCACCGGCCCGACGGACCGGGGGCGGTTACGCTGCTGGGAGCTACCGGCACGCCGGCGTGGAGTGGGATTCCACCTGGAGGGCGCTGTGCCACGCTCACCGCCGGCATCACTCCCCCCTCCACGGCGCTCTTCACCCTCTCCTCGAACACCCGCTGGGATTTGGACTAGAGAACGAAGCGTGTTCCTTCTTCTCTCTCTCTCTCTCTCTCTCTCTCTTTCTCCTTTCGCCTCTTCACTTTCTCCTTTCCTACCACGTTCCTTTTTCCCGCTTTCGTACAATATCTCACTCTTCTTTCTCCGTCACTGTTTTTCCCGCTCTTTTTCCTTCCAAATTTTCCGGTCTTGCCCGAGTTTGGATGACAAGTTTAAAGCACAACTTTCCTCAAACATGTGCAGCAACCACCACCACCTCGAGTGTTTTGTATCCTCCAAATATACGTCACTACGAATTTTTTTCAGTCTTGAGATCGCCTTGAAATCGATTACATCTTCGAAACTCCCGTTCCTCAAAATACCGACACGACGTTGCTTGATTCCTCTGTCACGATCACTGCGAAGGGACGTTACGTATCACTGCACATCGTAGGAGTATCCTTCCCCGGCGTAAACGAAGGGGGAGTCACGCGTTACCCCGAGGTGCACATCGGACGGAAGGTATCGTGGCGGACTTATGTTTACACGTTAACGCAATCACCCTCACTATATCGCTGAACTCGTGGATGATCCCGGAGAACCTCCCCCCCACAGTTTACGCGAACAAAATCTTTCACATTATTTTCTCACGTGTGAAGAAACGGCCTCTGTTCTCGTCTCAAAAAAGGAGCAGCGAATCTCCCTTTCCTCTTCTCGCGCGCCCCTCGTGTTTCCCGGTCACTTCGACGCGAGTACTCACTCCTCGCGGATCCTCCCGGGCCCGCTTTTACTCGACGAATACACACGCGCGGGCATGCGTGCGTGCGTGCGTGCGTGCGCGCGCTCGCTCGCGAGAGTACACCTCCGTTCTGTTTATACGTCGGGGGCGCCTGAATATATAGCGGGCGAGAGAGTACACTCCGATCGCGTGTTCCGAAACGCGCGGTTACGACATGCTCGGCACGCAATCACCCGGTCACGATAAGAGGGGGAGAGAGTTAATGCCACTGGCCAACGACGACGCGTCCGCTGCGGCACGTGGCCGTCACGTCGTCGTGTCGGTCGGTGTCGCGACGCGCAGCAGCAACAACAGCAGCAACACCAGCATCAGCAGCATCAGCAGCAGCACCTACGTTGCGGATCAGCGCCGCTCGCCGCCAGCCGGCCATCCTCGCGCGCCCGAGAGAGAGATCACCCTCCTCCCTCCTACCCGCTTACTACCGCCGCCTCCTCCTCCTCCTCCACCTCCCCCCCGGCACCTACACGCGGCACGCCGCTACCCAACACACCGCGCCGGCTGCTGCTCCCGCGGGATGATCCCTCGCATCCCTTCTCCCTTCCTACCCCGGCCCCCCTCAGTCGCCACTCGGCGACCCGAAAACCAAACCGGCGCGAGCACGCCGCTGCTCCCCGACCGACCGCGTCACGCGTCCCGGCATTCTCTTCGCGTTCGCGCCTCGGCGACACGAAAAACTCTCTCTTTCTCTCTTTCTCTTTCTCTCCGGGCGGACACACCGGCTAACGACGGTCACACACTTTCGTGATTTACCTTCAAGTCGTACGCGCCGGTTTTCCAACTCGTTGACTCGCTCTGATTCAGGCCGACTCTCTTTACTCTTTTGTTTACCTCGACGTATACACACGGCTCCGAATTGTCGCGCGCGCGCGCGAGACTCTCTCTCTCGATTCACCAAAACCACTCGTCTAATGTCGCGACGATTTCATTCACGGGGAACGCGCTCGGCGTACACTCCCGGCGTAAACACTTGCAAACGTATTCCAACGCGATACGACGGGGACAAAGGAGGATAGAACGACGAGAGCGCGTTGCCGCCGCGCGTTGCGCGTTACCACGACGACGTACGGCACGCGAGCGGCAGAGAACGTAGGATACCAAACTCCACGAAGGCGCTCGCGTTACTGAGGAGCGGCGGGCGCGACGCGCGACGGCGCAGCGGTCGGCTCTCTTCGGCTGCTGCCGAGTGCCGAGGACGCTGCGCGCCGAGCGGTGTGGCGGGGAGCGACGCCAGAGGGGAGGGGGAGCGAGCGACGCGCGCGGTAGAGCGACGAGAGCGAGTGGGGAGAGAGAGGGGTGGAAGATCGTGGGACCGCCGTCGTTCGGGTGGTAGATCGGAACACGAAGGTAGAGGGGGGGAGAGGGGGACAGAGAGAGAGAGATGCCGGGCGGCGAGGAAACCTCATGCACACGATGTTGCCCGCGAGAATGAAGAAGGTGGTGTGGAGAGGGGTGCCACGTGAGCGCCCGACGCCCGGCGTCCACGGCAAAACGGCGGACACGGTCCCAACCTCACGTGTGTCGTGTGCCCGGCGAGAGAAACCCCTTTCTCCGAGAGGATTTCGGAAACTCGAGAGCGACCGGCGCAAGCTGCTTCGTCCACTTGCGGAGCGGAGCGGAGTTTGATAAGGCTGATATGAAATTTCGGAGTAGGAAATATCTAGGAAATATCGTGCTGCTCGTGCGAGTTCGTGTTCGGAATTAATTTACAGGCGGTTGATGAATTCGGTTGAAATTGCGTGGAGTGGCGTAATTTTTCTTTCCCTTTTGTTTCTTTTTTTTTTAAAGCTAAATTGCTGTTTAGTCCGTGGTGTCGTGGGTTAGCATAGCCTGATCGATCCTGTCATATTCGTGTGTTCCGATTTCTTCGTCACGTGTGAATCGTGTGATGCCTATAAAGAGATTACACAGATATATATCTTTTTTTCTTCCAATCTGTAAATAGAACTCGCGAGGTATAATAAAGCGCTTCCCTAGCAACGTCGCGAGTTGCATTTAACGGCGGCCGTGTTTAGGAAATTCGAACGTACGTACGTACGGGATGTGGCCGCGTAACGAGATCCGGAAACGGCAGTGTCCGATTCCGTTTGGTAAATTGTTGCTCGTGAAGGAGGAAGTCGGTATCTACGGCCAAAGTCGGCGGGTGGATACGAGAAGTTTCACTTTCCGTGCGATTCGAATCGCTCGGGCTTTCCCCGCACTTCTCCCCCCTCTCCCCCTTTCCCACCTTCTCCGTTTTCTACCTTCTCGTAAGGATTGATTCGAGGGTGTCCGCTAGGATCACCGTAGTCCGGAAATCCGATTCATCGTAATCGGGGTCAAGTTGAACGTATTTGTACGACGCGCGAGGAAGAAGAATCACCCTTCGCCCGTCTTGACGTGCACCGACGTGCCGAATTGACCAATCGATCCACGAGCGTAAACACCTCGCGCAACTGCGCTCGCCCGAAAATTCGTCGCAGTTCTAACATTATTTCGTTCATACATCTTTCGGATGATATTAGAATAATAAAGCGGAAAATAATGAAGAAGAAAGTCCTAATCGTAAGCGACTCTTCCAAATAGATCTACATCTGGAAGTGTGACTCTTGTCACACGGACTTTTTAATAATTTATTCATATAATTGAATTTAATATTGTTTATAACTGCCTAGTCTAGTCATGTTCCTTCATTTAAAGTGAGAAATCTCGGAAATACATTTTTTAAATAATTTTTAGAAACTGCACGGTTTGTGATACAAAGTTAATCTTACCGTGATAGCAACGTGCGGCAACGCATTCGATGCGCGAGATGGAGATTTAATACAGAAATCCGCTGATTTGCGGTAGGAAAATCGCATTTTGAGGCATTAAGCACCGGATATTTTCCCGATACAGTGAAACCGGAAGGTTGTTCTCTCGAAAACACGGGTCAATTTTCGTAGCCGTGTGCAATTTCGATTTCTTTCTCGCGGTTGCCATGAGGAAAATCTCGCGAATCACGAATATCGAACTCGCGCGGGATGTCAGTTCATGCAATGTGCGCACAGCGACAATATAAAATAAACAAATTCGATATTTACAGCACACATTACAGATACGTCAAATGCGATATAAAATCGTAACAAAATTCTACAATTAATGAAAAATGTGTATAACTTGATTATTGTACAATATTCTTATACAAAGTTATTCAAAGTTTACTTTGCGGCAGACAGACTTGAAATTAATACAAATGAATTAATAATCGAAAAAAATACCCGCGGATTTGAAGTCCAACGATAACGGAAGCCTCATCCGCGACAATCGTTATGTACGCCGTTTTTTTTTCTGAACGCCATGCCAAAAAAGCCGTGCCAAAAGAAGCTTACTAATTGGATCACCGATAAAGTAATTTCGGATTAAAAAGTAATCGATCCGCCGCGTCGCCGTTCTCGCAGTTGCGGGTAAGAGAATAGTCTGCGAATCATTGTGCAGCGGACGGCAGATTAAAGTGGATAAAGAAAGATAGAAAAGACGGAAAATTGTAAAAATCCGCAGTTGGAAATTCGAATGCCGCTGGAATTATTCGATTACATTTCTTCTATTTCGTCGTCTAGCACGCGAATTAATGCTTATTGTAAGTAATCAATTTAGTTGGTGAGAAACAAGATAGAGGATACTCCAATCCATAGAGATATTCCAATAAAAATAATATAGGATTATAACTGAAAAGAATTATAAAGCAAAACAATTGTATATTCTACATTCTTTGAAAAATGTTTAATTACAGCATATTTCGCGATCTCGGTAATAAGTGGATTTCGAAAAAAGTGCAAAATTCTAAAATGGCATGGCGTATGATGCGATTGAACTAGACAAGTTCGAAACAATATAAAGTCAACAACTGCTTCGCGATCTAAGTTGATCGTAGCACGGAGTAAAGGACTCAGGTAACTCCAGTGCCTGGCTACGTAGGTAGAGTTTGAGATAAGAGGTATCATTGTCCGTGCGGAGAGGCCGCAAGTCGACCGCTTACAAAGCACTGGAGAAATTCCGGATATCTTTCACCGTTTAACGGAAAATACGCTGTAATCCTTTTGACCTTCACCTTCTCAATTCAAAGTTTCTTCGCTTGTTTGTTGGAAAGAGGGGGGGGGGGAGAAATAGGAAGAGAGAGAGAGGGACGTCATTGATATATTTAACGCATATTTAACTCGTCGTCGCAAAACATCAGCGTCGAAAATAGAATGACTCGCGGCATTCAGGCATAAAACTAAACGCGATCACAGGCATCTTTTTTTTTCAGAATCAGAATCGCGCCAGTCTAGAACCCGTTACCATAATAACATTCTCTACTTCTCGATCCCGAGTTCATCGAACTTCTGCGTTACCTCGCTGATTTCCTTTCGTTCACTACAAATTGTTTCGCGATCTCCAACGATAATTAGCAATTCGTTCACTAGATTAACAAAAAATCTTGACATCATGATCTTTGATTCTCCAAAGGGCAACTACTTCGATCTCGAGAATCTCTTTCTTGGATTCTTTTTTTTTATTTTAGAATCAACGAACGAGCGAGTGAGAGAGATGACGCTTGCTTTAAGATTAAAATAAAATATTTTTTTTTTACGTAGATGATGTTTCTAGTCCACACATCACGTACGACCTACGGGTAGCCTGTGGCTCAGTATTGGAAGAAAGAGGCAGTGGTTGGTGTGGGGATGGACTACCAGGAATTCTCCAGGACCATTAATCTGTTTCAGTGTGACACCCGGGGTCTTCTCTCCCCCAACTTTCCCTTTTGTTCCCCTATAAGCCCCTTGTACCCCTGCTCACGGTCTTGGCCGGATTCGAGACAGGTAGGCATACCTAACCCAGGCCCGTCTTGACCCAAGGAAAACGAACGACGTTCTTATACAATTTGTAATGGATCGAGTAGTTTCGATACGATACCAATGTTCAGTACTTATTCACTTATTGTTCCGCTTTCGAAGACGAGCAAAGGTGAAGAATGCGTCAAACGACGCTAAATCGCCACAAGGGGAGGACATACTTATCGTCGATCGCACTGATTTCCGGTGGATCCGGTGGACAGGGTATAGCCGCGAATGGCACCTGTTTTACCTGGGCTCGCAAAAACGGGTTACGCTTCGAGCGAGAGAGGCTCCTTTTTCCTTGCGGTAGATCGACCTCTCGGTGGATCTATACCCCGGCATAATTGATCACGGACGGCGGAGCGAGCGCCTGCGTAAGAGCGATGTGGTACTTTGTGCCTCTTTCACGCTGATTTGTGGTTTGCACCCCGGCACGGCACGCAGGTTGGCCGAGCGAGCGGTGGGAGTCGATTATCTCTCCCTTCGCGGAGAGAGCGAACCGCTCACGTATCACGTCTATACATGACGTACGGCGTGTATTTACCTTCGCGCTTCGCGGCGAGTTAATGCCTGACGGCTTCTTCGGCAGCCGCGCGAATATGTATACGCAGTTGAAAAAGAGTTCGCCGACACGATTGTAGAGGAGCTCGTAAAAGAATTGTATGGATATCAACCGATGGAAGAATTGTATTGTGGAAAATATTAACGAATGTTTTTTTAACAGACAAGATAATATAATTCTCGTATACATGAAAAAACTGGATGGTATTTCTAATATTTCTAAGAAGATTTATTCAGTTTGAGAATTTAAAGTATTTTATAAGAAATTGCTAATAAGAGATTATAAAAATATATTAACAATATAATATATTATTACTAATAAATTAGTAAAGAATGACAAAATCAACTATTGATGATCTTAGTTGGTAATTCTTCAATTAAGATTAATAAACATTATTCAGCAAATCTAAACTAATTGCCAGTTAAAATATCTAAACACGATTATTTTCAAGGTAATTTACAGAATCCATATAAAATCGAAGATCGGTTTTATTTCAGAAGAATGGATCTCCCCGCGGGAGCTATACACACACGTTTCACCTCGAATCCATCAAAATGCCACGCGCCAAGTCTCCTCGGAGCTATCGAAGGCTCCGACGAAGTGAATCCTTACGCGACTCCTCGAAAGTTCGTCGTTCGGGGCCGGCACGCTCGCGCGCGATCGGGACCGGCAAGTAGACCAGCGGGCGTCGCTGAAGAAGAAGGAA